TATATGCCTACAAAAATTGTCGATTAAAATTTTGAATTTTCTCGCTCTGCGCCGCACAATTTGTCACTTCAAATCCTGAATCCATGTTTCGAGCTTTTCATTTTCTCTCTCTCGTAGGTCTATCTAACGTGGTTGTCCGTCTTCTTTAGGAATGAATCCATGTTCACTACCATCACGACTCTGCCATATATAACCTTCACGGTTTTGTTCAGCCATTGGTTGAAAACATCCTAGTGGTCTGATACTAAATTATGCCGAAAATGCATGTGACTAAACAGAAGAAACTGGATTTAATAAAAGAAAAACCTTCGTTCTCGATTTCTATTTTCAAAATAACAAATTTATTTAACTCTTGCAATAAGGACTAATTGTAAATCAATTTAACATTCTAAAAATAAATATAATGATAGCTATTTTCACAAAATAAATATAATGATTCCTACTTTATAAAAATAAATATATATAATTAAATCATTCAAAATTCAATTAAATCTTAAATCTCAAATCACATCAAATTTATTGCTTTTCAATTTTTTTTCAATAAATTAAAATCAAATCATCATCTTCATTTGAATTGAGATTTGGTCATAATCCAATATATTTCAGAATCACTGGTCGGGCCGGGTCGACCGGAACCCAGTGAACCGGTCATCGGATTGATTCGGGTCAAGCATTGAATCGATTATGCATCGGACTCGGCCAAAGCGGGACAAAACCGGTGACCCGATCAAGTCATGCATTTTTATATATAAAAAAAAAAAAAAATTGTTTCATCTTGTCAAAAAAAAATGTATAACTCATTAATTTTTTTTTGCTATTATACTCTTTTATAATGACCTCGAATTCCAGATTCCATGTCATTACAAGATATTTAAGAGAATGTGACATATGTCATTTTAATATAGATGAATTTAAAAAATGAGTTCAATGTCATTGAGAGGCATGCTTATGGAGATTCTGAGTTGCAATTTAAATTGACATAGTATTAGGGTGCATTTTCATTTATTTGTGTTTCATGAACTTGTAATAGTGTGATTGAGTAGTTTTTGAGCTTATTTAATGAATCTTGTTTAACTCATTTTAGATATGGAGAATATAATTAAATTTATATGTTCATATTTATACACACATATATATATATGTATTTATATACATATTCAGATCAATCGGTTCAGCCAGTGACCCACCAGTTCGACCAGTAACCTAATAACCCAATATCCTTACCGGGCTGATGCCCGAATCGGGTTTAATAACACTGTTTCAAATGGTTGCTTCTTTGGGTATTTGAACAAAAAATTGTTTAGGTGAAACAACTACATTGAATTATGTTTCTATGAAACTATTTTGTAAGAAATATGAAATTATGTTTCAAATATTTTAATTGATGCAATTCAATTTACCTAATCATTATTAACATTTATTAAAAGTAAGGGGAAAAAGTTATTAATAAAAATTAACATATATATATATATATATATATATATATATATATCATGTAATTTAAATTAAGAACTCAATCATTCTAAATACATTTTCGTAAACAATAGCTTACGTAATGTTCCTCATTCTACCAAATGTGGAGCTACATGGTTCTATCTAGGGGTGAAACTGGGTCGGGTCGGTCTACATGAGCCTACCGCTCGGCCTACGTCAGGCCAGATTTGACCTAGTATATTTCGTAAAATAGGCCAGACTTGGGCTTTGCAAAAGCTTGTTTAATAAAAATGTTGTATGCTCACTTTCACAAGGCTTGGCCTATAAACTTACAGGCTGACCTATATTATACTATTTATTTTAAATAAAATAGAATAAGCATGACTTGAAAAAAAAACAAAAGATATAAATTTAATCAATTGCAATTATTTATAACTTAATCATACTTGATTATATTTTAATCAAAATCTGACTTTATTTCTTATGTATGAGGAACCAACATCTTAGCATGTCAGATTGTGTATATGAATATATTAAAAGGTTTTGGGGAGATGATATACTTACTACAAGCATCATGATGTGTTTGTTGGATTCATGTACTTATTTTAATTTATGGGAAAATATAATCTTATGTTGTAGGAGAGTGTTTTTATCTCCTACACGTACATCGATTTCCGTGTTACTTTTTTATCTTTTTTTTCTTATTCTATAAATGGATGGGTCCCACACATGATTGTCTCTATAACATGAGAGAGCTCTCTCCTATTGCATGAGATTAATAAAACCCTTAATTTATATAGTATGGATTTGTTTGTTGAATTTGATGAAATATATGTTATTTAGTTTGAGCATTTTGCTTTTGAAATAGACTTAAATACAGATTGTATGAGTTTTGTTGTGATTCATGATTTTGTTTGGATGTTGAAATTATGATTTTTGGTTTAGTAACATAATTTGAGTATTTTGTAAAATTGATTCATGATTTTGCTTGGAAGTTAAAAATTAATAGGCTAACAGGCTAGGCCAGACCATTTATTTTTTTATGAACGGGCCAAGCCAGGTTAACAGTTAGACTCGTACTAGGCTTGAGCCAGACCAAATTGAAATTTTTTGACGTAGGATTGCGCTTTTCGGGGAAAAGATTGGCCCAGCCCACTTTCACTCCCTAGTTCTCTCTACCATTCCCGATCCCCAAATTAAAAATAAAAAACGACTTTTTAAATTATTTATCTAAATAACTAAATATAAGTTATTTTCCTTAGACATATTTGTGACACACTCACATAAATTATAAGGAGAACAGAGAGAAAAATTAATGGGATAAACTTAATTTGCATGAGTGTTGAAACAAAAACAAAAATATTGTTCCCTTTCATTATTTGTTGTAACTTTTAATATGCATGTATAAATAAGAATATTATTATAAAATCTAATTAAATACATTGATGATAAACTTTTTATCATTAATTTTAAAAAATCACAAAAAAAACACGAAAATGCCAATTAGGTTGGTTTGATTTGTTTGTTCGCCCTGAACTTACGCTATGCAGTTTGTCACACATACCCGACCCTCTTGGTCAAAACAACAAAATGACATTTGGTGATACATGTATAATTTATAATATACTTGAATATCACGCTATATAATAGAATAATAATGATTGTGACTATTTATTCTTTCGCTTATCGTGGTTGCAAGTTACAATCACAACATAAAAAATATATATTTCTAACTTTGTATAATACCATCTCAATTATATATTAAATTTTTTTCAAAAAAGACGATGTACATATATTAAATAAGAGACTTATTGACTGTTAAATGATTACACCAATTTTTTTTTTTTTTGGTAAATAAATGATTACAATCTTTAATAACTTTTTCCATCATACAAGTCTAACAATTTTAATGCTAAATCATGCACATTAAATATAAATAAGTTAGAAAGTTTTTTTTTGGTATATATATTTCTAATTTAGGTTTAAAATTTAGAAAGAGATGCACATAATTAATTCAATTAAATTATAAAAAATGTAAATTTAAAAAACTTTAAAATTGAACAGAATTTATGAATGATTATTTTGAAAACATTAAAATAATGTTAAAAATACGATGTGTCATTCTTTAAAATGAAATATACTAAATAAGTTAACAATTTTAAATAAGTGAACTCTAAGTTGATATAAAGAGTGGATTAAACATTAATAGGCATATAATCTTATTGTTGATATTTTTTAAAAATATATCATATGTTAAAATAAAATTATACAAAAATTATTAACTAATTTTGTATTTACACGAATTTTATAAATTTAAATTTCTCAATAAAAAATTTATTCTGATAATTTAAATCAATGAAATTCAATGTTCATAAAATATATTAAAAGATTTAGTCTTAAAATAAAATAAGCGAATGTCTGTCCATTAAATAATATGTAATAAGGAATTTCTCTCCAATCAGAGAAGCTAAATACTAATGGCTCTTCCAAAAGTTCAATTAATTCAGTAATGGCTCTTCCAAAAAGTTATTTTCATCTTTTTCAGGACTCTAATTGGTTAAATATTTATTTTTCTTGTTACAATTAAGACACCAAAAGAGAAAGAAAAAGAACAGAATAATGCAAGGTGACGTGCTACACAGTGAAAAACAAAGTGATGTTGGTCAGTGGCCACTTTAGCGTATTTGGTCGTTGAAAGAGCTAGCAGGACGTTAGGTTGCTGAAAAGAAAAAGTTGTTGGGAAATCAGATGTTGTGTTGATATGGATATTAGTCAATTAATGACCACGTTTTCCACCACAAAAATAAAGGACATAAATTTGACAGCCATTGTTATGGCAACAGATTTATTTCTAATTAAAACAGGAAATAATGAAATCGTCCTCTTGAAACTAAATGCATTTGATTTGCTTGTTTCCAAAGTGGTCGTGCCTGATATGTTTTCCTTGACACCCCCATACTCACAGCATTATGCAAATAAAATTTGAACGGCACAGATACTTTATTTACAACTTTCATGATTACATCGGCATGAGTTTACATTCCCACACTGATAAAGACACTGATATTTATAAATTTAATAACCAAATATACAGATTTTGTTTTGCAAAATGATACTATTGCATATACTTTTTGGGGTATTAAATGTAATCGACCTTTTATTTGCTGCACACAGACGGTGAATTACATTAAAGAGTAGTAAAATTGATGCTCATATGCAAGTTGCCATATAATCTTATGTTAAGATCTCATTTAATAAATATATTTCCAACTAAATGAGATGTCAACTTCACTAAATGTCAATATTTCATTAAATGTAGTTATAATTTCTACTTTTTTTTTACAATTCTAATGCATTAAATTTAAGTTCAAATATTTTTAAAAATTCTTACTATAACTTTCGAATGACTGTGCTATCAACCGATTCCTTTTGGCGGGATTTAATACATTTGGGAAGAATCGTTGTCTATGGTTACCACAAGAATCGGAGTTGCACATTCTATTATGACAAACAAATTCAGTTACATTTTGATTTTTTAAGTTCTAAGAACTCAATACAACGTCCCTTCCCTCCCCAGAAATTAATAAATTAAACAAATATGCAATACACCACAAGCGCAACCGAAGTAAAACTTCATCGCGGGAGAATTCCATTTAGATCACAATATCTACTAAAATTAACTATGAAGTGAGACATTTTAACATACAACATGAAACTATTATCAAATCTATTACATATCTTTTAATATCAGATGTCATAACGAGATGACCCCACACTTGAACAAGGTACCCACGACAATGACTCAAAATTTCTCTGAATTTTTTTCATGTAAGCCTTCTCACACAGTCATGGATGAGTTCATCTCATTCAGTATGCGGTAGTATCTATTATGCTCTGAGGTGTTTTTGAAGCCAGGAAGGAAATCTGCAAAGAATCTTAGAACTGCAGCAAGATGTTGGGAGTCATTGGAAACAAATGCTGCTTCTAAGAACAATGATGGCCGGATGGTATCCACCTGAAAATTTCTCACACTGGTTAGCTATGTGAGTTTTAAAATTAAAAATTAAAAATAAAAATCATAAATACAAACCCAGGGATACTTTCACGTTCCATATATACTGGAATAGATCCTTTTTATGTTCAATTTAACATGACCAAATATTGTAAGACAAACTCAGTTGTCCATAAACAAATCAATGATTATCCTTTCCTCACACTTTCTATCCTAATATACTCCTCTTTCGTCTCTCATTACCATTGCTTTGTTTATAGATGGCTGATATCATCTCACATGATATTATTATATTAAATAAGACATGAAGTAGTTCTTGACTGTATGTTTTTGACAATAGATTAGATTCCCACACTTAATTTAACTTTAGTATTTAAAAACGTAGCTACTCTATTTCCGGCAAAGGACTAAAAAAAAAACTCAACAGCAGACACAAATGGATGAATGAAATTTCTACGGCAACAAAGAGTGAAAAATCAAGAGAAAACTACAGCATCATAGTCCTCGGATTTCCATCATCTCCGAGCTCTCTTCATTATTTAAATTTTAACACACTACACAATAACTTCCTATACCAGGAGCCAGCACAGTAGAAAATTACCCTGTACTTCCGTGCATATCGTAGGGCTTCAAGGTAGTATCCATCTTGGACTACCAGCAATACATAATCATGATGTAAACCAAGTTGTCTCAGCATATCCAGACCAAGCTTCCTAGTTTGGGTATTCTGACGACCAGACTCTAGGAGTTGTAGTGCAACTTCCTTAGAGGGCTCCAGAATCTGCAACAAAAAGAGTCTGGTCTCATAATCAAATTAATAATAAATCAGCAGATAATGGCTTCCTACCTTCAAAACAATATCGTACAGAAAGTTTGGTAACCTTGTTTATCACAAATAAACCGAGTTCTGCATAACGTTCATTGCGGGCCAGAAGTTGAATTATCAGTACATATAAATTTGGGAGTACTCGAATCTTCTCCAAATTTGCACTGCAACAATTAAAAAAGAGCATTGAGGGGCACTGATTCAAAAAGAGTGGAGGTGAAAGTTATGATCAGATCAATAAAAAGAGAATAACACATTTTAAGTCCCTGAATTACCATCCATCATTTCAAGTAGATACCTGTTTCAATTGACCTAATATAGGTTTGCATGATACCCTAACTCAAGTTCTTAGTTGGCTTAGGCCTATCAAGCCGGACCACATTAAGAAGTTATAGAAGTTTCAGAATGTTTTCTGTTCTTTCTTGACTTACCTTCTTTACTTACAAATTACAGTATGTATTTTAATCGCGAAATGCAATGCTTTCTGCTCTTAAGAAAATTATTGTAGTTTGACGTACCTTAAATATTAGCGCAATTAGAACTTGAAAGGGAAAAATATTCTCTGGGTATGCCTGGTCTGAATATTAATAACATATGGCAAAGCCTAATGCACATATGGTATATTATTATACTGGTAGTGGAGTTTAAAGTTTTATGCATGTGCATTTTTTTTTATATTTTTGTTGATAAATGCTTCACAACACTCATTTTGATATCATCTGGTCAATAGTAAATAGTATTTTTATGATTATTTTGTACAAACAAAATGTAACAAAAAGTAGTTAAACCCAGAGTATTGTACACAATCGTGACCATTGATTTAACATCTCTCATGGTTTTATGCTAAAACCAAAAAATAGAATGGAAATGTAAAGTTTGTATTACAATGTATAACTAGCATAAGAAATTTATTAACATATTTTGATTAGTTAGTGTCAAAATAGTATCATTTAAGTTGCTTGTATAATAATTTCATTTTCTGCCACCTCTATATATCAACGAATAATTTTTCTGCCACCTCTATATCATTTTTTTTTATATATTTTTTGTTTGAATTACAAAGGACGCCACCTTGTAGACCTGAGAAATGGAAAGGAAGAAATGATGGAGCAAGAATTGAATCCTTGTCATCAAGCCCACCACAGTTAAAAACTGTGGTCAGTGCCATGTAATTAAATAGGGAGGTTTAGATCAGTACAAGAAGATTGATAAAAGAAGCAACAAAAAGTTGATCATTTTGAATTGAGTCTAAATTAGATCCCCTGTGATGAAAAACTCCACAGTATAATACTACCAGTGAGAAGATATAACATCATTGGAGCAATAAAGGCATTTCAGTTGTACTTGAAGTTTTCAACAGTTCTTTAAATAGGTGAAATCATATAATTCACTGCCATTTAGTGGACCAAACTAAAATCCATTAGAAACTAGAGCAAATCTATGAAATGCCTTCAGATTCAAAACATCTTCCCAACTTAAGTGTAAAGCATACCTGTGAAGGAACTCAATAATGATTGCAACCAAGTATGAAGGGTCTCCAACCATCTCTTCGTCAACGGGAGAAAAGACAAAGCTGTACAACTCATCTGGTGAAATTACTGCAGAAGTGAGTTGGGATTCCTCTTGCCCAGACTGCAGAGGTGATGGCATAACATAAGCACTATGAGCTGCAGTGCTTGGGGAGCTCTCATTGTTTACATCACCCCCAACTTGGGCCTCTAAATTGCATTCTGGATTTGCAGGCTGGGACTCGTCCTCAGAATCCAAACTTGAAACAGTCAAAGCTTTGTTTAAAGATCTGCTGTCTACTCTGGAGGTAGACTCATGTATGATTGATTTTCCAATTGAATCTGTTCCTATAGAAGATACATCAGCACCAGAAGCTGATGTCTTCTCAGGTTTCAGTCCCTTAAGATAGCTACCAGTTTTAATTGAATGGGAGTACGATGTGACTAGTACATTTATAGCCTTGGCAACCACAGACACAGGCCTATGCTCAAGAATAAGAGTACGTGTTATACCCAAGCACAATTGTTTAGCCTGAAAGAGCAGAAATGAGGTGACATTTTTCAAAAATCATCAATTAATTAATACAAAGTTTCAACCAAACAAGTATAGATGAGAATACTATTAAAATTAATAACTGTAGTTTGAAACCAGTTAAAAAGACATTTCAGCCAATATCAATATAAAATCATTTCATTAAGGGCCAATTGAGATTAGAAATTTTTCCATAATCGCATTCCAGATTTCCAGAGGGATACCTCAATAGAGGATATACAAGGGAATTCAGCATTCTCATGTTTAGCAAGAAAATTACAAGGCATCCAAAGTTCCCAATAATGAAGTTCAAAATAATTATATAATCTTGAATACAGCTGTATAAACCCTTTACTTCCATATTTGCAAATCATTGTATTCCCTAGGGTAGATGATACCTATCCTTTCTAATACTTATCTTAGCCACGTAGGACTCTCAAATGCATATTCATTGCAATCTAGTTCTCATAACAATCACAAATTTTCTCCTTGTAGATGAATAGATACTATTGTCCAAAGGGCCCCTAAATGACTGAACAAAAGTATCTGTTACTTTTAAACTTGCCATAAATGAAATAATAGATAAATTTATTTCAATGAGCACAAATTGCTAAACCTAAGTCACCATTAAAAAAACTGCAAAGTGAAATAATGGATATATTTATGGGAATATCATTTCTTCTTTAAAAGAAGATAAATGATATCTGCCACAAAGAAAGAAAGGCAGTGAACCCCAATTATATTTTTCTCTCTCATTCCACAATGCTTTCTCTCTCTATCCTTTCTCTGCGGCAGATATCATTTATCTGCTTTTAATGCAGAAATGATATTCCCTGTATTTATTGCACCATTTATGCTAAAGCTGGGATGCATTAAAAAAAAACAAAGGCTATGCCAAAGGAGCACTAGGTGTGGCCACTGGCCAGTGATATCAGGCAGACTTTATTGCACTATCTATGCTAAAGCCAGGCTGCATAAAAGAACTTAACACACAAGACTATGGCAAAGGAAGTCTAGGGTTGGCTAGTGATAGGAAGACTTAATAGCTGAAAAGAAAATATGTACTTTTCAGCTTAGTGCTTTCGTTTCTTAGATGCTAAACCTGCAACATATAGTAGAGGGATCATCCTCCAGCAGATAATAAAAACACATCAACTTTGGGAACTAAAAGTCTACCTTAGGATCCAAATCAGCATATGTATGAACTAAGCTAACTACCGAGAATGTATTAGCACTTAGCAGCCCCAAGACATAAAGTGGTCAATATGCATATCTGGTCAAAGTCCAGGTACAAACTAACTACTGAGAAACTGACTTGGTTTGAATTAAAAAGAAACAGCCAATAGCAACTGCTGCATGTTGAAGAATTAATCACCAAGAAACATTGCTATAATGAAGTGGGGGAAAGATACCTTGTTAGCTTCCAACTTCCGCCGCTGCAGGAACTCTAATACTGATGGGACCTCTGAGCTACTGGCAGAAATTGCCTGCAAGATAGGGTTATTCATGAAAAGAAAGCACACTAAATTTGGTATTGATAGATAAATGAACAAATAACTTTACCTCTATGTCTAAACTGAACTTCCATAATAATTTATTGGCCACATCGCATACGAGATCAGGCACTAGGAAAGTCCATGTATCGGTGTACATAACTGCTTCATGATTACTTAAAACAGTACCATCTGAACTCTCACTTTGTCTACCACTAAATTGAGATGAAGTACTGGACCTGGGGAAACCCCTTAATAGTAAAGGAAGTGGTGCAGATATTGGAGCTCGAGAATCTGCAAAGAGATCATAAAGTATAACAACCTTTGCATCAACTTGATGAATAAGAAGTACATTGTCGACCACACTCACAGCAATCCTGCTGGAATAAATGGGTAAAGAACCCTGCAATTATCATGAACATCAGTCTCATTTTTTTAAGTCTAAAGTTCAATGCTGAATCACACAACAATGTCTAGGATAAAATTACATACCCATTCCCAGCTAGCCATATTTTAGTTGCATACTTTTTTAAAATGTCTTCACAAACTTAATAATTACTATAAGGAGGTAAAATAATACTATAAAATTTTAAGGTTGGAAATTAATTTTAGTCTATCAGAAGAAACATAATGGTATTAAGATAAACATAACCAATCTTACTGTTCCCAATTTGCAAGTTTCTAAAAGTATAAAGACCTAATTCTTGTTGAATTGTTGCAGGTTGTTTGCCTCTAAAGAAATGATACCATGAACTAGTGCTGAATGTTACCTACATTTTCTGTTAATAAAAATGTTTTATCAAATGCAAAAATAAATCCAAGATTGTAAAGGGTCACATGAATTAAATGTTAAACATCATATACTATAAATTTATAATTGATGTTACAGTATCACCAAAGTAAAATAGAGGGGAACATATCCTTCACATCAAATTGGCATTTGTTCAGAAAAGTTTTATCAGATGTTATCTTAAAGAAGAAACTTTCGAGTGAATTAAAATAGTAAATCATTAACAATTTGAGCAAAACCAACCTGCTGTATCACCGCATCACGATATAGCCTATACGAATGGAGTAGCATAGCAACTCTATCAACTTGCAAGCAGTATATCCTACCATAACTGTGATTGATTGTAAAAAAAAAAAAAAAAAGACAGTTTCAATAGGTAACTATGTTAATTATAAAGGTCTAAGCTGGATAGAGTAATAAATGATACATACACAGTGACAATATAGATGTCTTCAGCTGCTAAAACTGGCTTAGTATTGACCTCAGATTTGGCCATAACCATCTCAAACCTTGGCAAGCGAACAATATCTGCAGATGAAATCTAACCAGAAATGCATTCTTGAATCAGCCAAATCAAATAACACGGGAGCAATATAGGTTGACATTCTACATTGATACTCATCAGTCATGACAAGGACTAATACAGAAGCAGCACTGATACATGTCATTTTTTTCTGAACAATAACGACATCTAATTCTATGACACAATAAATTACTATTCTTCTATGAGCTACAAGGCAGCTAGGCACCGTATGGTATTTTCGCTACTGTATGATGTTACAAAGTATTCATATTAGCGCATAACTGGCTATGGCTATAAACCCCAATTCACACCCTAGAAGGAGCTCCAAATAGCAAAGAACCCAGATTATCAAAATGTATTAGCTTAATGAATATTGTCTGGGTATTTGACATACAAAATACTAGGCACAGGCCACAGCTAGAAAATATCTTCTTGATAAAAAAATTACAAGAAAACAAAAACAAACAGTACGCACTCTTACCTGAAATCCATGGAATGTCTTGCACTGCATTCCAGAAGCAAGAAGAACCAAGCGACTTTCATGTGTGTAAACATACCAACTCACATTCAGTTTCTTTGTTTCCACCAATTGCAGTGATTTTGACTCTGAATTATATGCATACAAGTCTAGACCACTGTCGAAAAAGTTTGTAATTTAGTATATCTTTATTTATAAAACAAAATAAAAAGGATGAGGAAGGGGAAATACTCAGACAGTTGTTTACAGATTTTTAATGTACTAAATTAGGGCATTATGCTAGAAGTCTTATGCAGAATTTCATGCCTTCACAACAGTAGCAGGACAAGGTTACTTTTTAGCGTCACTATGTTGCATGGCCAACAAAATATTTGGCGGGTTCTTTTGGCAGAGATCTGAAGAAAATGCAAGACCGTATTGTTCTAAATAATGAATGTTTTTTCATTCCTTTTCCTTTCTTCAATGAAAATCTGAGGATAAACTTCTTTCCAAAAGAAGAAAGAAAAATCCTTCACCCAAGATGATCCAAAGAACAAAAGAAATGGGAGGGGAAGAAAAGTAGGAGAGAAGCAAGGACAAAGATATTAATATGAGAAGCGAATCAGGAAAACACCACAGCTGGTCAATGTAAATTACTGGATTGTTTAAAACACAATGATGGTCAAATAACAAGATGACCTCTTGTGATGAAACAGAAACTCAAGCTGAACAATTGTCTATCAGCCATTGTATTAAGAACTATACCTCTTAATCACATTTTGTCATGGCCACATATAATTATGAAAGGAGAAAAAGTTTCCCTCACAAGATATAGTATTTTCTATTTAAGTTCTTTCTTGGGGCGTGATGAGCCCTTGAAAAATGTCTACAGACGTAGGAAATGGAAAAAGGGCCAGGCCCATCAGGTAAATAATGCAATAGTTGATGAGGTGGCTGATTCTGTAGTGGCTGATCCAATGAACCATAACAGAATGTGGGTTGTCAAGGAGAGAGAAGGGAAATTAATCATAAGAATGGACAGCTGGCAGGCACTGATTGGAGAGCAAGATATTGGGAGCAACAGCATGTACGAAGCGGGAGCTGATAAAGGAGGATCAGGAGAGGGTCGGGGTTATCCATCCATTGAGAAAATTTAAGGGTAAAGGGGTGCTGGAGGGAACTCTACAAGATAGGCTGTTTCTTGTAGAGGGAGCTTAGTGATTAGTGATTCCTTGTAATTTTGTCTGAGCATAGTGATTCCTGCGTGAATCATTTTCTTTTGTTTTGTAGGAGATTCTGTGGTAGTTAATATCAGTATTTTGGGAACAGTTGTATTCTGGAATTGTTTGTAAGGGCTGAGCCCAATCTGTTTTAATCAAAATTTAAAATACATTTCTGGTACCATCAGGGCACAAAAACATTTTCATCTTTTGTTTCCTTTATATATTTAGGGGATGGATCTTTTGACTCCGGTGTAAGACTTAGAAGTCTTACTCCCAATCTCAACCATTGATTTCCATCCATCTAACGGTTATAGTTTATTGAGTTATATCAATTAATTAATTATTAATTTCAAATAAATGACAACAGTTAAATGGACGGAAATCAACAGTTGAGATTGGGAGTAAGACTTCTAAGTTTTACACTAGAGTCAAAAGATCTCTCTCTATATATTTATAGAAGAAAATTACATAATTGCAGACTTGCAGTGCCCTTCTCCGGTCACCACCAAACCCAACTGTTAGTTTTCAACTATTTCTTCGTAAGCAGAGAATGGAAGTATAGTGACTGTTTGACTCTGATTCTATTTCTTCTCAAAAATGTTTTCAAAAATAAAGGCAAGAAAAAAACAGTTTAGTTAATAGCAATCCTTCTTCCTGTAAAAAAGGTAAGGAAAATATAGAGCATCAAGACAGAAACTAAGAGTATGCTTCCAAGCATTAAAAGAAGTCAGACAGGCCCGGAATTGCAGGACCTCTACCACAACTACCAGAATACTACTGACTTCATTTCTCTGATGAGAATTTTACAAATTGCTAAAGTTTAGGTTTATGGGCTGAAGAGCAGATAATGATTATCTCATAATAGACTTCAAGGAATAGATAATTTACTCAAGAACACTAAAAGAAAATCAAGTCTCCTTTTTTACCATTCAATAATTCAAATACATTGAAAACATATAAAAAAAAAAGCTTGATCCAATGAAGATTCTTAAAAACCTTAAAATATAAGTATCCAAATTGATTAATCATCCTCTAAAATCTCATCCTATTACGAGACTGTAGATTTCCAGCTAGGAATCACTATTATTAGCTTTTGCTGGGTCTCTTCTAAATTTAACATCAGGAATTCAGAATATATAAAAAAACTGCATCGTTAAACAATGTAAATTGTATCAACAAAGAGAAAATAAAAAAGCTAACTATACCTGGTCTTAACAAGTACAATATCACATCGTTGACTATCTGTCCAAAAAAATCCAAGTATACTTTCTGATTCTGGCCTGCACTTATGGCTAAAAGTTTCCCCAGTCTCTCTATCCCAAAACTGTATCTCATGGTTCGACCGTTGGATTGCTATAACCTTTGTGTCTAAAGAATATCGAATAGCTATAATAGGACCTTCACTTATTGAATCAGTGGTTGGACCAATGAGTGGATCAAAGGGACCAACTTTCCATGAAAAGACCTAAACATTACCAACATAAACACATTATTTTTCACCAAAAAATAAATATATGAAACATCTCATATTACCTGGTCAGCTGTTGGGGAGAGTAGTAACTTGTTTCCATCATCATAGAATAATCCCCTTGATCCAGGAACATTACACCTAAGTGGTGGATACTGAATGTAAGCATGTGAAAGACCATCAGATCCACCCAGACTTAAATTAGGCTTTGAAGTTGATGCTTTTCCAGACATGTTGATGAGCCCTGTTTACACAATCAGTGGGACAGAGGTAAGATAACAAACTGCAGCAAACCTCCCAAAAGTATGTACACTAGATAGTAACAGTTAAAATTACTGCATCTATGATTAACAGGAGATATAAGCACTGAAGGTTAAACCTTTGCCCGCAAAAAGTTATAGGACCTTCCTCTAACACTATGATTGGAAACTTCTTCTCCAAATGCTTCTTTTCATAACCTTCAAGCTTTGTAGTTTGTTTATTCAGCGGCCCGGAACAAGGAAACAAGTGGGTGTTCACTTAAACCCTCTTTTTGAGCTGTTAGGAGCAAAATTATACAGTAGACACAACATAATAGCTTTAGCAACAGACGGGCAAAAACAAAAAGTTAATAATCAGAAACAGCTTGTAACTCTCAAACGTCATGATTCAATTAAATGAAGTTTTCAAAAAGGTTTCTCTTCAGTCTTTCCAGAATGTTGCTTAAAGAGATAAACATAAAAGGTAATTTTTTTAGTTAAAATGTAAGAAAAAAGTTTATAGCTGGAATGCCAAGCCAGAGTAGAAACAAAAACTTTATGTCAAGATCATTGTAGAATACGATACCACATTCTGCATACAACTTTTTAATGCCAGAAATTCCTTCATACACACATCACGTTCAATCTCTGGAACCTTGGCTGCAACACAGCTCCCATATGCTTTTGCCTATTAGATGAGACTAAACCAGATCAATTTTTACATGCGACTATCAAACAATAATAAGGATAAGACAGAGAGAATATAAGAGAAAAGGCAAGCACCTATTATACAACCCATTCCCTCCCCTTCCCAACAACCTGACGCCTCAATCATAAACACATGTTTAATGCATCTAATAAATAAATTGAACTTGGTTATTGCCAGAGAAAATTATAAAACCAAGTCAACCTTTTACTTGAAAGTACTAACAAATTGCGAAAATCTTTCTGCATATAAATATTCTAAGCACCAAAATGATGTAACAAAAAGGACTTACACGCAATTACATTATGTAACCCCCCAAAACTAAAATTACATTGCTGGCTCACTCTAAGATAAATAAAGTCAAACCTGAGATGTACAATTCACTAAAATGCGCTTGAGAGTAGAAGTAGTATTCTTCTTTTCCTTCATGTCCACAACACTGCAAAATATACCAAAGTTACAATTAAACGATAATTAACTATCACCTACCAAAAAAAACATAATAACATACAATAATAAACAACATAATAGCATCAAATATCCTTAAATTTTCCTTAGAACAATAAATAATAGCATAATTCGAATTTCTAGCATCACATAGTTTTTCACACCGGGTGTTTCGGTAAACAAGAAGATTAAAACCCTTAAGGAACCTTCGCCTCAATTTGCTTGCACGTGTAACCTTGTGAGAATATTAGAAATTGAAAATCGTAACAGAAAACGAAAATCGAAAATCTGCATAAAGCATATTTGTATAGAGAGCGAGGAGAAAACAGCGAAAATGTGAGAGAGAGAGGTTCGTTTACCATTAAGAATGAGTCATATCCATTCTGCAACAGAATCAATCGCAGATCACGAAGCTGAGCTTATTTATTATTCTTTTTCAATACTATTCACAATCGACAAACAACAATACAGCACTGGAACTACCTACCAGTCGCAATGCTTGTTAACAACCTCCCACTGTTTTTCCTTTCTTCTGCGCTGCAGTTCGTCCGTGGGCCTAATATGGGAGAAGATATATGGGCTGGGCCTGGTTTGAATAGCCGAGCACAAAGGAAGTGTTTGGCCACTCGGACCAACAGGTTGAAAACCTACTCGATAATGCACCTTAAAATACTCTGATCTGACCCAAAAGCTTATTTCAGGTAGAGCCAATATTGGGCTCAACCCAAAAAATAACGGGCCATGTTGGGCCTTCTTTCAAATAAATCGAGAATATGAGGACAAAAAACCAATTGAAAAATGAAAAAATATTTGTCCTTTTAAATGAAGGTCATTTTAATTAAAATTAATATTTTTATTTAAAATTTAAATTAAAAAATCACCTACTTTTTCTCCTATGATTTCCACTGTGTGATTATTTATCTCACTTAAAAAGACAAATAACAAATCCATTAAAAAATAATAATAGTAAAAAAAAGAATAGATGGATAGCGAAAATTTTAAAAGGAACATTATAGTTTGACTCAATATCTATAACATCGTCATTCAAAATAGGGGGCATTTGGTAGAGAATTTTTATTTTATTTTTAACCAGAGAAAGACGATTTTCAAGAATATGATGGAAAAGTGAATTTGTCGAAAATGTTACCAAAAAATTGTTTTGGTAAGTCAAAAATTTTGCCGAAATATTGGATCAATTTTTCTAATTCTATGTTTGGTTGATTGTAAAATATTGTTTGAAATATGGACCGAATTTACAAAATTAACCTTAAGCCTTTTTTTGTTAATTCAGCCTCATTTTTTTCTTCTCTCTTTCAACTCTCTGTCTGTCTCTTTCTCTTTGTCTCAACTTGAGAACAACGAAGACAACATCATAGAATGAAGCTCACCAAGAATGCGATGAGGCTTAGGTAGCTTACGTGAGTGGAAGTGGTTGCAAATGTTGATGAAATCTTGCTTTAGCGTGAAAAACTTGCCGGCGCCGATGGTATCGTGCAAGACAACAATGGTGCGGACGAGATAGAGGATCGTAACATTGCAATGGTTGAGAGCTCTCTGGAATCTTCTTGCCATTTGAGATCCCAAACACTTGTATAACATTTTTGCCCCAATCTCAATCTTATGCTTTTTGTATTCAAAGCGAAACACAAGAGAATTTGAGAATGGAAAATTGGTTGTCTAAAAAATCAGTGAACATTTTTCCTCCGTGTAGGATTTCTAAAATATCACTTATTCAATGTATTTTAGTTTGAGACTTTTTGTGTGCAAAGTAAAATTTTGGGATTGTAATTTTTCCAGGAAAATTTTTACACTCTATTGTACCAAACATGGATAAATTAGATATCCAATGTCACTTTCTCGAGAATATTAAATTTTTCCATGCACCACCCGAATGGTGTTTGGTAGGAGATTTCTTTTAGGATTACTGGGAAAATGGAGATGGGTTTTCTAGTTGACCATGTTTGGTAGGAGGTTTTAAAAAATTTGTCCATCATTCGGATTTGCATAGCAATCTCAGTTTGTGTGTAAAATTGAAAAAATTTGTGTAAGAACCCGCACCGTTAATCAAGGAAATTAATTAATTAAATATGTGAAATTAGGAAATAATTCCATAATTGACCCTAATAATTATTATGAGGCTTAAATAATTATAGAAAGTGATTAAAAATGCTGAAAGTCGCTTTTCGGAAGAAAAGTGCATATACCGGTTCTGCTAGTCAGTATAAATGCGTACCGAAAAAGTATCCCGGAAAATTATAATAAGTGCATGATAATTCCTAGAATAATATATAGGACTTGTAAAACGAGTTTCAAGTTAAAATAATGAAAAATGGTGCCAGAAATTGGTACTGGCTATGAAAAGCGCGTACCGGAAAGGTGCTCCGAAAAATATTAAAAAAATGATAATTCTTGTAAAATTGAGTAGGTTAAGAATCCTGAGTTTGGGATTAAAATGCTAAGCGTAGCAATTAACGATAATACTGTGTGTTAATGACTTAAATCGTTATATATACATTAGTTGGCCCTAAACCCTAGGCCATAATACTGATCCTACGTGAGTCTTGGGGCTGGTCAGCTGCTGGTCACTGTTCCATTGGTGTTCTCCTCCATTTCTTGAGCCAAGTTGCCACCTTTGCTCCATCTCTTCATCTCTAAACATCATTACCTTGGGTGGGTTGGTCTTGTGAGGTTGTGAGTGACTCCCTTGCTGAGTTGTAGCTTCTGGTTGAGGGTGAGGAGGTGCTGCCTTTGAGAGTTGGTTTGTGAGAGCTTGGAGTTGGTATTTTGAGCTTCAAAGTGCCACCTTTGTGAAGAAAAGAGTCTTCTTGTTATGCATTTTCGTGGCCCTTTGGTTGCTGCACAGTGGAGTGGTGTAGGAAGCTCCATTTCCATGTCATTCTCTGTTTTGATAAGCTTGGTAAACATACTCAACCTTTGATCATGAGTTATTGGTTAAAAATGAAACCTTGATGCATGTAATGAGCTTAAGATGATAACCTAACGTTGGGTAATGCTTAACACACTTAGAAATGCATGTTTAAGCTTCTGTAATCGGTAAAAGTTGGACCTTTGGTTTGGATTTTCGCGAAATGCAGAATCTGGGTCCGGATATGGGTATCCGGATATTGATATCCGGATATGGGGATCTGAATATCCGGATATGGATATCCGGATATTGGAAGAGAGATATTCAAATATTGATATCCAGATATGCCCCTGATGAATATCCGGATATTCTGGAATTTCGAAGAACAGTAGCTGCACTGTTCATACAGTAGGCTATTGGGGTTTGTGGACCCTAGATTGATGAAGTTGGACTTCTGTAATTATCAAACTAAGTCAGAATCAAGTGTTTAAGGGCTTGTGGCTTTGTGTGAAGCCTTAAGACGTAAAACGTAATAGGAAAGACGTTGTCTAGGGGTGGCAATTTGGGTTGACCCGCCCCGCCACCAACCCGCCAAAAATGGGGCGGGGCGGGTTGACCCGCCAAAAAATATGGGTTGTAAAAATGAACCCACCCCGTTTTATGGTGGGTTGGCGGGTCAACCCACCAACCCGCCAATTAAAAAAAAATTAATTAAAATTCAAAAATAAATTATATTTTATGAATTTTTTTAATATTATCTTATTTTATTTCACACTTCTCTATATTTTTGTTAGTCTCAATCTTAAATGTATACTAATATTTGTCAAACATTCTTTAGGAATTTATAAATACATAACATTTGTCATAAATAAAATTGTTATTCTTTATTTTTTCTAGAAAGTACTAAGATAAAAAAAAATTGAATATCACAAAAATTTAAGTACTAATGAAATACTACCTAATTGTAAAAAAAAAAAATAATAATAAAAAAATTTAAAACCCGGCGGGTCAACCCGTCCCGCGGCGGGTTGAACCCGTTTTGACCCACTTCTAGGCGGGGCGGGTTGAGGTGGGTTGGTGGGTTGAAAATCTCAACCCAACCCGCGTCGTTTTGGCGGGTTGGCGGGTTGACCCGCCGGGCTCAACCCATATTGCCACCCCTAACGTTGTCTTTATATTGTATGCTTGTAGAGTTGTATATTGATATAATTATTGGTCCAAATAGATTGTGATTGTACTGTTTGTGGACGTTGAGCTGTGAGGACTCTTGGCTGGGATAACTAGCTTGCAAGGTAAGCTTTCGTGTCCTCGGTTTAGCCATGTTGTGGTTTCACCATGTCCCATGGGGGTATGGTTATATGCATGCTGTGTTACATGCTTTTGATGTTTTGGAAATGCTATTGAGCTGTTATATGCTAGTGCCTTTATGATATGCATGTGGTGTTTCACCTATACGGTAAGCTTGAGTATGTAGTACATACAATATGGTGAGGCTGTGGGTGAGGTGCAAGCGGTGTTCCTTGTACTATCTG